TTTTCATAATAATTCATAATAACACAATCGTGATACAACATCAACAATGAGTCACTTAGACCATTCTAAACACATCAAACACCAATAATTAATGACATTGCATTTTATTACCCCTTTTTCATCATTAGAAGTATTCAATATGGACAAGTCAACCCGTCCCAAGTCCATTACTCCCCAACACATACCACTAGAAAATACACGATTATATATACTTAACAAAGGTTTAGAAATTCACTTGTCTCAAATAATTGAACAATCACACGGGGACTTGAGTTTTCCCCATTCGTTGGACTTCTAAATCAATTCAATCTATTCAAATATAAATTACACACACATATTACTTTATGTCTAGCCGACGAATCAATAATGAAGTTTCTAATCTTGAAGCAAAATTAATGTGTCAACTCCCATATTTTCTAAGTTTCAATCCTAAGGTTAAGTCTTAATTTCTCAAATTAACATAACTCTAATAATTTTATATAATACAATACACCTATTATTTAATTACTTATTTCAATATATCAAAACTTGAATTATATCCTCAAAAATAATTCTTAAACTAAAAATTAAAACAGAACCAATGACCTTTAACAGGTGTTCTATTCAGGTCTACATCGAAATATGAGAACATTAACTATCTCCTTAAATTCTAATGATTAAATAATCATTAACCCTTCAAATATAAATCACTGGTTTGTCCCAACTTACTTTGAAAGAAGAATAAAGTTAACGTGAAAGATAGATCATTTAAATGCCTAATGCAATAAAATATTATAATATTAAGGAAAAAAAAGGTCATGAATAAAAGTAATTACAACATAACTATGCAAACATAAATGTTAATCACAATTATTATGCACCTTACATAACTTAAATTAAAGTAAAATTTATCATTAAATAAGATTGTACACTAACATTTTTCTTTTCTTTTAAATTATAATTTATGTGTTTATGTTTAAATTTGATAAAAGAATATTATGTTAAATTTTTTGTTCTAAATTTAAAACTAATGTTATATTTTCAGTTATATTTATTTAAGCCGTATTGACTTAATGTTTTTCATTGCAAACCATTTATTACTTGGTTAGACTTGATAAATTATATTTTGTCAGATATTTAATAATTTCATGACATAATATTTATACTATTAATGTTTTTTTCAAACATGAATTGATGTTCATAGAAATTTTTTATTTTTATTTTTTGTAAATACTTTAGCATAAAAACCCGAAAACTCAAAAAATTTGAAAAAATTCGAAGTTAAAAAATCCGAATTTATTAATTTGATTTGATTTATAGATTTAAAAAATCGACACAAATATTTTAGTTTAATATTTGAAAAATATAAACCAATCCGACCATAACACCGCTACATAAAATTGGTATTAATATTTGTTTTGGGTGTAGGTGGTCGGGTAACGAAAAAATCTTTAAAAAAATTGAAAACAAGATAACTTTTTTTTTTGGGAAGGGATTGGAATGGGAGGGGAATGGTAGGAGGGTGAGGTAATTAAAAAAAATACTTTTATTTTTATATAAAATACAATTTTTTTGGGAGGGAGTTAGCGAAAAAGTAATTTGATATTTTTCTTTTTTAAAAAAACAATATTTTTTCCAAAAAATATCTTTAAGGTTTTGAGGGTGGGAGATTGTGGGGGTGGTTGGTTGGTAGGGCATAAGGGCCGAGTTAGTGGTGATAAAAAATTGTTTTTTTTTCAAAAGAAAAAAAAAGTTTTATGTTTTGTGTGTATGTGGGGGGCTGGGGTGGAGGGCTAAAGATTTTGCTTTTGAAACTTTTAACAAGATCCATACTATAAAATAAGTATCTGTATTTATTCATATTAGTCTTAAAATAATTTATTTTTACTTATTTAAAATGTGAATTGTATCAAATATTTATTATTTTTGTTTAATGACCCAATATATTGGATCCTCTCATTTGCCACTCCTAATGAAAAGTAAAAGAAGCATCATTATGAATAGGAGAAACTTGTATTTTCCTATTATAAATATAAGTATTTATGGGACCCCAAAAATCATTCATTTTTTCATTTTTATATTGTTTTGTTCTATTAAGAGAAACAAAATATGTATCTATCAGTAGCTTTGCCCTTGCCAAATATTGTAAGTACTTGTATAAAGTTATAAATCATAATGTTTGCTAATTATTCATGCAACTTCTTATATGAAGTTATAAATCATAATGTTTAAAAATTATTCATGCAATTTATCATATATTTTATCTTTTGTGTTTGGATTCAAAAAATTTTCTTGCTTATTATTTTTGTTAGCAAGGTTTTGGATTAACTTTTGTCAATCACAAGATTTCCAGCACATCCATAGCAAGAAGGGCTACTCATGAGCAATTGGTTTATTACTTTTTTGTACATATTTAGATTTTTTAGTTTTAAGCTTTATGTATACTAATAGTTGAAGAATTTTTACACCATCAGAGATATTTATAAGATAATTATGAGTAATTGTACAAAGTATCAATTGACACAATTTAAAATAAATTGTAAATAACCTATAACTATAACATGTTAAAATGAAAAAGAAACATATTTTTTCATTATGTAAAACCAAAATCCTTTAATATTTATCGTTTACTTATCAATTACTCCCTCCATTCCTTTTTTACTTGTCCACTTTCCTTTTATAGTTATCCTTAATTACTTGTTCATTTTGACAAATCAAGAAAGAATATTTTTTTAACCTATTATACCCTCAATTAAAATTACTTTGAAAAATGTAAAATTTTTCATCCACTTCACAATAGATGGAGGTAAAATGGTAAACTCACTACGTCATTAATTATTTTTTTAATAGGTGCGTCATTCAAAAGTGGACAACTAAAAAGGAAAGAAGGGAGTTGTTTCTTCGATTTGGTACTTACTACTCCCTCCGTTTTAAAAAGAATGATCTCCTTTCCTAGTATGCATCTCTTTTTTTTGGTAACATTTTAATTTCAGTTTTTACTTAACATGTTTAAGGCCACAAGATCAAAGAATAATTTTGTACATTTGACCTAACTTTAATTTAATACCACAAGATTCAAAAGTCTTCTTTACTCTTAAACTTCGTGTCAAATCAAACAATATCATTTTTATGAAACGAAGGAGTAATTATTATCTCATTGTAAAGCCCTCATAAAAATCTAGGAATTATTTCAAATAGATTATGAGAGAAAAATATAAGCAAGAAATTCTCCCTTTTTACTTTCAAAACAATGGTTTGTATGAAATTTTTGTTTTTTATGTTTGATTGCTAAGAAGTATTTACTTCGTTTCAATTTATTTATCTTATTTTGTTCTGTAATATGTTTTAAAAATGGCTAGCGTATTCTCCTTGGTTCAATCAATAATTTCCTTTTTGTTTTCGTTTAAAAAGAATTACGTCTCTTTCACTTATTCTTTTTTGCAAATATTTAATTCTAATTTTTAACATGATATGATTAGGAAATTATATGATATGATTAGGATGATTATACTAAAAATTATTTTAATACATTCTAAATATATTTAGTGACCGCAATATTCAAAGGTCCTGTTTACTTTCATAACCATGTATCAAGTCAAAATTAGATAAATAAATAAAAACATAGGGAGCAACTCTTTATATTAGATAAATAAATAAAAACATAGAGCAACTCTTTATATTCAACATCCTACATATGTCATTTTTTTGTCCACAATTCAAAAAATATTTTGATATATTACACAGATTTTAAGTTTAACATTACAAGATTCCATTATTTTTTTAAAATTTTTTAAACTTGATATTTAATCAAACTAAAACAAATATATTATTGTAGGGACAAAACTCGTACTACTTTCTTTTCTTGTTTCTTGGGGCGTTGGTGCTTGGCCTATATACGATATGACATAGCCTATATGTGTTCACTTGATATGTTTAAGTTTACATGTTTTAATAGTCTTATGATCATTCAAATATTATAACATATTTATTCTCTATTTGACAAAGTTAATGAGAGAGTAGAAATGTTTTCTTTTTTCAAAAAAAAGTTTATTATTAAGAAGTATGTATTATGGGGGAGTAATGAAAGATGTCCTCCAAAGAAAAAGAAAAAAATAGTTTCTCAAAAGCACTATTTTAAATAATGCTTTTACGAAAATATACTTTACTTTTTCAAAGATTGGTCAAACACTAATGAGTTGTTGCTCAAAATGTTTTAAAATTTAATTAATCAAACACAAATTATTTCTCATCAAAACTATTTTAAAAATAAGATGATTTTAGAAATTTGGCCAAACAAGCTATACATTAATATCAAAAGAATTTAAAGTTAATATGTACACATTGATTCAATTTTAGATTAGGGGTGTACTTAGCTGAGGTGGTTCGATTTTTCAACTACCAAAATAAATCAATTGTGTTAGATTTTTAAATGTACAAACCAAACCAACAAAAGGAAGGGTTTAACCTTATATTTTCTTGCTTTTTTGTTTTTTATCTTTAATCTTGTATTTTTCATTATGTTTGGTAAAGTCTTCGAACAAACATATAACTAAATTTGTGTTTCGAATGTTTTCTTAGTCCTATCAAAATACAATTATTTAAGATATTTTTAAAGAAAATAATAGGTAATATGAGTTAATTAATGTACTAAAACATTCAACAACAAAAAAAGTATTTTAAATAGAAGATATTTTCCTTAAAAAACTAAGAAAAAACATTTTCCGAATCACTAAAAATAATCCATCACATCCCCATACTACCCATAAGTACATGTTGTAACACTAAAACAAGAACAACTTTTAGCGGCACTAAATATTGACATCAATAAAGAGTGCTAAATTCTTTATCGGCATTAGGTAAGTACTTTTAGAACCAATGTCGCTAAAGGCTTTAGAGACATATACAAAGAGTGCTGATTAACGCTAAAAATACATATTTAGAGGCATTTAAGAATAAATTGCCGCTAATAATTATTTTTGATGTACTGTAAAGTTATAGTAAGACATTTAAATTCATCAAACATGAAAAAATTGAAAAAACTTTTACAGGGACCAAGAGAGCAGGAAGGAACAACCCTATCAGATCAAGCTGAAGTCAAAAGAAAAGAAACTAAAGTACTCCCACCTTTAGTGAATGCCATAACAACATCAGTCAAGAAAAATGCAGCACCTTTAAATTTTCCAGGTCATAAAAGAGGCATAGCTGCACCATCTTCACTAGTTGATGCTATCGGTATTGGTCCCTTTCTTCATGATGCAACTGAGCTCCCAGAGCTTGATAGTTTTGGTTATCCAATTGGACCATTATTAGATGCACAACAAATGACTGCTAACCTCTTTGGTGCATCTCAAACATGGTTCTTAGTTTGTGGGACAACTTGTGGAATTTTAGCAGCAATTATGTCAACTTGTTCACATGGTGATACTTTAATCCTTGCAAGAAACTCACATGTTTCAGCCGCTTCAGCAACGGTGCTTTGTGGTGCTCAACCAAAGTACATTCTTCATGAACATAATCTTCGATGGGATATTGCTGGAGGCGTTACCCCCTTACAGGTAATTTTAACAGCAATTATGTCAACATAATTTAAGTGTTTACTTGTGCACACACAAATTAGAGTATATAAATGTCAGATGAGGCCAAGCTAAAGTCGTGGCCAACTTAATGTATAACAACCTTCTAACCTGATATCTTGTGATATCCTTGAGAATAGGATCATCGACGTCAGTTCTAGTCAACTTATCATACTCTATTATGGTGAGCTTAATGTTTACTTCCAAGGGTGTATTTACTGGTTTTGCACCACTAAGATCAGTGTCTGAGATTAGATCAAGAGCATACTTCCTTTGATTTAGTAATATCTCATTTTTGGATCTTAGGATCTCAGTCTAGAAAATACTGGGTGTCACCAAAATCCTTCATCTTGAACTTGCTATGAATTAAGTCTTTTATCTCTTGTATCAACTTACTAATACTGCCTGTTAGAAGTAGATCATCCACATAGGTAAGAATCACAACTATATCCTGGACATCTCTTTGTAAAAAGAGAATGATCATAAGGACTTTGTGAGTAACCAGTCTTAAATAAAACTTTTAAAAGCTTTACATTCCATTGCCTGCAGACTTGTTTCAATCTAGATAAAGACTTAAGCAGCTTACACACCTTGTACTTCCCCTGCCTCTGAAAAACCCTGAGGCATCTCCATGTATACATCTTCAATAATATCACCCTGCAAAGATGTATTATGAACATCTTTTTCATATAGAAGCTAATTGTGTGAGGTTGCTACACTGATGGTAGTCTTGACAGTGACAATTTTAGCTATAGATGAGTGTTGGACAAACGGATAATCACACCCAGGATAATGTCCAAACTAAATAGCAATAGGAAGAGAGTAACATCGACAACAAATATTAAAATGGGTAGATATGATACCCGAATAAGTAATACAATAATATTGATGAAAAATTTGGTAGTATCAAAAGACTACCACTCAACACTCTTTTATTTCTTACAACTCACAAAACAATATTACTTGCGCACTATTTTCTCACAAACTAAGAAGTTGTTTGTTGATTACTCTCTCTACTCTCTATTGCTTCTCTATTTTTGGTGTGTCTTCAAGTATTCAATTACTACTCTATATATAGAGTTTTTTGAACCCTTTATTACATCATTAATGACATAATGTGATAGCCAATTTCCACAAAAGTATTGGATGCCATACTCTACCAAACTTATACCAAACTTTGACTATCTACTTCCACAAATGTGGCTACCAACTTTCAAATTGGTGGCTACCAATTTTCACATTTGTGGATAATAATTTCAACAAGTATGACTGCCAAATTAATTGTTGCCAAGATTTTATTTCCACAAATCTCTCCCTTAATTTTATATCCGCAACTTAATCATGAGATTTCACATACTTGAGCTCTACCTCTTTCTTGGCAATGCATTATCGGATATAGTGATACCTTATGTCTATGTGCTTACTTCGATCATGATATACCAGATTCATTGCTAGTGCTTGCACAGATTTGTAATCAACACAAATTAATGTCGCTTCATTTTGTGGCAAATTCAGTTCTTCAACAATCTTCTCAACCAAATAGCATGACACGTACATGATGTCGCTGCCACATATCCAGCTTCACAAGTCGAGAGAGTAACAATTGATTGTTTCTTTGAACTCCAAGAAATAACACAATCACCCAAGAAAAACATAAAACCCGATGTGTTTTTTGTATCATAAACATCTCCCGCATAATCACTATCACAATATCACACAAGATTAAAATTGTCAGAAGAAGAATAAAATATTCCAAGGTCGATTGTACCTTTTAGGTAGTGAAGAATTCTTTTAGAGACCTTCAAGTGAGTGGAGGTGGTAGCTTCCATGAAACAACTTACTACTCCAACTTGAAAGAGTATATATAGTCTCGTACATGTCAAGTACCTCAGACTTCCAACGAGACTTTTGAACAAAGTGGAATCCACTTTTTCTCCATTGTCAAACTTTGACAATTTTGTTTCACTTTCCATTGGGGTGTTTATAGGGTTGCAATTAACACATGTTGAAGTTCTTCAAAATCTCCTTTGGATAGCTTTCTTGAGATATGAAGAGGCCTTCCTCCATTTGCTTCACTTCTAAGCCTAAGTAATATGACATGAGCCCTATGTCCGTCATCTCAAACTCAAGGGACATAGTTTTTTTGAACCTTAATGTAAAGAGCATATTCATGGAAAAAACGAGTAAACCCAATGTCTTAAAAGTATTTATCAATGCAACTATTCCAAGCTCGTGGAGCTTGGTTCAACCCATATAAGGATCTATTCAACCTCAATACCTTATCTTCATGATTTTTAACCACAAAACCTAATAGTTGCTCAACATAGACTTCTTTTTCAAGATATCCATTCAGGAATACCGATTTGACAACTAGTTGATGGATCTTCCACTTCATTTGCGCCTCTAAATAGATCAATTGACGGATTGTCTCCATGCGGGCAACAGGCACATACAATTCCTCATAGTCGATGCCATGCCTTTGTTGTAGCCTTTAGCCACATGTCTTGCCTTGTATCTTTCTATTTCTCAATGGGCATTTTTCTTCGTCTTGTATACCCATTTGACTCCAATTGCTCGATGATCCTTGGGAAGAGTTCTTAACTCCCAAGTGTTGTTCTTCTCTATTGACTGAATCTCCTTCTCCATGTCTTGTCTCCATTTTTTTCAGTAACAGCTTCATCAAAATTCATTGGTTCACTATCAGCAAAGAGACAACACAAAAAATCAAAATTATTTGTCGTTACACGCACCTATACCCTAGTAGTTAGGTCATTTCCCTAGGTCGTCGACCAGCGTACTTGACCTCTCGGAGGTCTTGTACAAGCCCTTCCGTATTGTTCATCGCATATAAACATATGAAAAGTAGTGCTGAATTAAAACATTTCACAAACATTTTATAAGTCTTTAAAATATCTTTCAGATAAAACATAACAAATACTAATTCTCATTTCATCAAATCTTAGACAAAAGAATACTTTGGGACACGGCCCAATACACAATAGAAATAAGTACTACCAAGTCTATTACAATACTTCGATAAAATCAATAAAGACATCTATGCTCTCGAGTCAAATGAGCGCATACTTTAACTTGCTTGAACGATCTTCTAATCCAAGATTAGTTCTCCAAAAGCACCTTCACCTATGAATCACTTTAGACATAGATAAAAGCATGGAATTAGTACAAACACATGTACTAAGTATGACATATTGCATAAAAATCATGAAAATGGACATTCATTGAAAACATGCATCTTTTGATTTAAATATCATAATACAATCATAAGAATAACATTTAAAACCTTAGAAATACATAAGAAGTTACTTAATCAATTTAGCACATTTTTAGGAAATCTTACAGTGAAGTATATCATTGTTACAGAAGTTCATTTACTGTATAGTGAAGTTTCTTAGCTTCACCATAGACACCTTAGCATGAAATTCCCTCACTAAAAGCTATCTTAAGACTCACTTAAGTAAGAAAAAGAGATTTTGGGCCCAAGCCTGTTAGGACGTAGCTTAGCACTATATATAGACGCTATGACAAACCCTATTCTGTAATTCTGTTCTTACCTCTCCATAATAAAACTGCTCCCCCTCTTCCCGTGGACGTAGCCAATTTATTGGTGAACCACGTAAATCTGTTGTCTTGTTTTTCGCGTTTATATTTTATCGTATTATATCAAATTCCGCACAACAAATTGGTATCAGAGCCTCTCGGTTAATCAGTATTTTTTGGATAATTCGAGATGTCTGCTTTGAACGTGAAAATCGAAAAATTCACAGGGAGGAACAGTTTCAGTTTATGGCAGATCAAGATACGGGCTTTGTTGAAACAGCAAGGCTTCTGGGCGCCGTTGTCGAAAGACAAGAACGCCGTCGTTACTCCTGAGATGGCGATTCTGGAGGAAAAGGCGCACTCAACGATCATGCTGTGTCTCGCGGATGACGTCATCATGGAGGTCTCGGATGAAGAGACTGCTGTTGGTCTGTGGTTGAAGCTGGAGAGTTTGTACATGACAAAATCTCTAACCAACAAGCTGCTTCTGAAACAACGTCTATTCGGTTTACAAATGGCTGAAGTTACACAACTCAGGGAACATTTAGAGCAATTGAATACTTTGTTATTAGAATTGCGTAATATCGATGTGAAGATCGAGGATGAAGATGCTACCCTGATTTTGTTAGTATCTCTCCCAATGTCGTTTGAGAATTTTGTTCAATCGTTCATTATTGGGAAAAATACTGTGTCGTTGGAAGAAGTCAGATCGGCCCTTCATAGCAGGGAATTACGACATAAGGCTAACGACACAAGTACGGACATACAACCTTCCGGTCTGTTCACTAGTAGCGGAAAGGGAAGGAAAAATGGCAGAAAGAAAAATAAGTCGATGTCGAAGGGTGCAAAGCCGGATGATGTTTGTAATTACTGCAAGGAGAAGGGACATTGGAAATTTGATTGTCCGAAGAAGAAGAAGAAGCAATCGGAAAAACAATCAGTGTCTGCTGCTGTTGCTGAACAAGGCACCAATTCTGAAGAAGACATTGCCCTAGTTGCGGATGAGCACACTCATCATTCAGATGTGTGGGTTCTCGAATCTGGGGCATCCTATCACATCTGTCCTAGGAGAGAGTGGTTCACGACTTATGAGCAGATAGACGGAGGCAGCATCTCGATGGCCAACAGTTGTGTCTGCAAGGTGGTTGGGACAGGCTCGATCAAGATAAGGACACATGATGGTAGCTTCTGCACATTGAACGAGGTCAGGCACGTTCCATTGATGATGAAAAATCTTATATCTCTCAGTCTTTTGGACAGCAAGGGATTCAGCTGGTCGGGAAAAGATGGAGTCTTGCGGGTCTGGACGGGTTCAAATCTGATTCTGAAAGGTGTCATCCGTGGTACTTTGTATTTTCTATAAGGTTCCACGGTTACTGGTTCAGCCCATGTTGCATCGTCAGAAGTTCACGAGAAGGATATGACTAAGTTATGGCACATGAGACTTGGTCATATGGGTGAAAGAGGGATGCAAATTCTGTCAAAGGAGGATCTTCTTGTTGGTCATAAGGTTAAGAGCCTAGAGTTTTGTGAACATTGTGTTTTTGGAAAACTACATCGCAACAAGTTTCCAAAGGCCATTCACAGAACAAAAGGCACAATTGATTATATCCATTCTGATTGTTGGGGTCCATGCCGTGTTGAGTCTTTGGGACGCTGCAGATTCTTTGTGTCCATTATTGATGACTACTCAAGGATTACTTGGGTGTACATGATGAAGCATAAAAGTGAAGCTTTCCAGAAGTTCAAGGAGTGGAAAATTTTGATGGAAAATCAAACAGGGAAGAAGATCAAGAGGTTGCGAACTGATAATGGGATGGAATTCTGCTGGTCTGAATTTGATCAATTCTGTAAGAATGAAGGGATTGCTCGACATCGTACAGTCAGAAATACACCACAGCAGAACGGTGTAGCTGAGCGGATGAATCAAACACTTCTGGAGAGAGCAAGGTGCATGCTCTCTAATGCTGGGCTAGATAAAAGATTCTGGGCAGAAGCGGTTAGTACAGCTTGCTACTTGATTAACCACGGACCACATACTGGCATACAGTGCAAGACACCTATAGAGATGTGGTCAGGAAAAGCTGCTGATTATTCAAATCTGAAAGCTTTTGGTTGTACGACTTACTATCACGTCAGTGAAGGTAAGTTAGAACCAAGAGCTAAAAAGGGAGTATTTGTGGGCTACGGAGATGGAGTGAAAGGTTTCAGAATCTGGTCTCCAGCAGAAAAGAGGGTTATTATGAGCAGGAACATTGTCTTTGATGAAAGTTCTCTGCTTAGAACCATTGTGAAGCCTACAACTACATCAGAAACTGGGAGTCTTGATAAACAGGTGGAGTTTCAAGTCATTCAGAACGAGAGCGATTTAAAAGAACCTGAAGAAGAGGATCAAGAGCCACAGATAGAAACTGATATCCCAGAATCTATTCCATCAGATATCCATCAGAGTATAGCTCAAGATCGGCCAAGGAGGGTTGGAGTTCGGCCACCTACGAGGTATGGTTTTGAGGACATGGTGGGTTATGCACTGCAGGTTGCTGAAAGAGGTAGATACATCTGAGCCGTCTACTTACAAAGAAGCCATTTTAAGTCCTGATTCTGAAAAATGGTTTGCTGCTATGGGAGATGAGATGGAGTCCCTACACAAGAATCAGACATGGGATCTGGTCATACAGCCTTCGGGGAGAAAGATTATTACTTGCAAATGGGTTTTCAACAAGAAGGAAGGGATATCACCAGCAGAAGGAGTCAAGTATAAAGCCAGGGTTGTTGCCAGAGGTTTCAACCAAAGAGAGGGAGTGGACTACAATGAGATCTTCTCACCAGTGGTCAGACATACTTCCATCCGAGTGTTACTAGCGATAGTTACACATCAGAATCTGGAGCTTGAACAACTTGGTGTGAAGACAGCGTTTCTACATGGAGAGTTGGAGGAAGAGATATACATGACTCAGCCGGATGGTTTTCAAGTTCCAGGGAAGGAAAATCACGTCTGCAAGTTGAAGAAGTCCTTATATGGGCTTAAGCAGTCTCCAAGGCAGTGGTACAAAAGGTTTGACAGCTATATGGTGAAGTTGGGCTATACTCGGAGCTCATATGATTGTTGTGTCTACTACAATAGGCTCAAGGATGATTCATTCATCTATCTGGTGCTTTATGTAGATGATATGTTGATAGCTGCAAAGAAGAAGTATGACATTCAGAAGCTGAAGGGTTTACTTAGTGCTGAGTTTGAGATGAAGGATCTGGGAGCCTCTCGGAAGATTCTAGGGATGGAGATCATTAGAGATAGAGAGAGAAGGAAAATTTTCTTGTCACAGAGAAGCTACATTCAGAAGGTCTTGGCGAGGTTTGACATGTCTTCATCTAAGCCTATTGATACCCCCAGTGCTGTTAATATCCATCTCATTGCCATGTTCGCTCCACAGTCAGAAGAAGAGAAAGAGTATATGTCACGAGTCCCTTATGCCAGTGCCGTAGGAAGTTTGATGTATGCTATGGTCTGTACAAGGCCAGATTTAGCACATGCAGTCAGTGTAGTGAGCAGATTCATGGGACAACCAGGGAGAGAACATTGGCAGGCTGTGAAGAGAATTTTCCGGTACCTTAGAGTTACATCTGACGTTGGTCTCATTTATGGAGGTGATACTCAGTGCTTGGTTACTGGCTATTCTGATTCTGACTATGCTGGAGATGTTGACACAAGAAGATCGATGACTGGCTATGTGTTTACCCTTGGAGGATCTGTCGTCAGTTGGAAGGCAACTTTGCAACCTACAGTGACTTTGTCTACTATGGAAGTGGAGTACATGGCCTTGATAGAGGCTGCAAAAGAAGGGATTTGGCTGAAAGGGCTGGTTAGTGATCTTGGTCTGCATTATGATCAGGCTACGGTGTATTGTGACAGTTTGAGCGCAATTTGTCTAGCCAAGGATCAAGTCCATCATGAGAGAACCAAGCATATTAACGTGAGGTATCATTTTCTGAGAAGTAAGAAGAGAATCAAGGTGAAGAAAGTAGGAACTGCTGATAATCTTGCTGATATGTTCACAAAGCCGGTTCCACAGAGCAAGTTTCAACATTGTTTGGACTTGCTCAACATCAGAAGCTGTTAATTGCCCTGCGGGGCAATTCGGAGGAAGAGGGGGAGGCCTGGCACTATCATAGTGCGTCTGAAGAATCTGTTTGGAGAATTCAAGTCAAGGTGGAGATTTGTTGAATGCCTTGAATTGGGCCCTTAATTATCTGTCAATTATGTATTTTGGGCCCAAGCCTGTTAGGGCGTAGCTTAGCACTATATATAGACGCTATGGCAAACCCTATTCTGTAATTATGTTCTTGCCTCTCCATAATAAAACTGCTCCCCCTCTTCCCGTGGACGTAGCCAATTTATTGGTGAACCACATAAATCTGTTGTCTTCTTTTTCGCGTTTATATTTTTTTGTATTATATCAAATTCCGCACAACACGATTTGTAACCATTCACCTTTTATCAGATGGAAGACATACTACTGACCATGTGTGGTTGAGCTCTAATGCTGCAGTTTTTTCTGGCATTGTTGTCACTCACTCTAGACATTTAGAGGCTTCTTTGAAAGTAGTAGGCACAGGGATTGTAGAAAGGGCAGTCAAGAATGTCTTATATTCAGCTTTGAATAGGTAACATAGTCAAAAATGGGATACAGGCATGCAGGGTGAGCTTATTTAGAAGATGCATGCATAAGGTAAATATTGATGCATGGATAGGTTCAGAATTCACCACAGTAGGTGTGACTAGAACCGTTGTTCCAATTACTACACTATGTAATAGCTGGCGTTGCATCCTCAAGATCTGGTTTGTCTCTTTTCTCTTCTATAGCTGAAGTTGAGACCTCACCAGATCATTAGGCAACTCATCATCTTCCAAGGAAACTACAGGGTTGGTAGGAGGTAACTCATTACAAGCTCACTACATTACTATCAGTTAGTTACTTCTTTAATAATGTTTCAGGTGAAAATAGCAATTGAAGAACTGGAACAGAAAGGCAAAAAGGCAGCAAGAGTTTTTATTACATCACCAACTTATAATGGGGTATGTAGCAATATTTTTGAGATATCTCAAATATGCCATTTTCATGGTATCCCTCTAATTGTGGATGAAGCACATGGATCTCACTTCAAATTTCATCCTGATATGCCTAAAATAGCTCTTTCTCAAGGAGCAGATCTTGTCATACAATCTACACACAGTTTTGTGCTCATTTTCCCAATCATCAATGCTACACTTATTCGGGGATCGCATCGATAGAGATAGAGTGCACAAATGTCTTCAATCTTTACAAACCACTAGTCCAAATTGGCTTTTATTAGCTTCCTTGGATGCAACTAGAGATGAATTAAGTAAAAATCCAAACACCCTTTTCAATGAAGTAATGGAACTAGTCCAACAAGTGAAAGAACTAATAAACCACATTCCTGGAGTCTCACTTTTCGATCTCTCATGTTTCTCCAACAACTTCTCTTATATGGACCCTTTGAGGATGACAATTGGTGTACAAGAACTTGGCTTGTCAGGTTTAGAAGCATATAACATATTGTCAGCAAGTCATGGAAATCAGCCAGAACTTATTGGAACTCAATCTTTCACATTAGCCTTTAGCTTAGGAACAACTAAAGACCATACTCAAAGACTTGCTAATGGATTGAAGTATTTATCAAACAACTTCTTTCAAGAAGAAATGGAGATTATCGAAAAGAAGAGTCAACTATATCATGGTATAGAAAGGTTGCCATTGGGAGAAGTTTACATGAGTTGTACACCAAGAGAAGCCTTTTTTGCTAGGAAAAAGAAAGTGAATTTTGAAAAAAGTATTGGGGAAGTTTGTGGAGAATTTATTTGCCCTTTCCCTCCAGGTATCCCAGTGCTAATCCCAGGTGAAATCATCACAAAGAGAGCTATGGATTATCTTGTTCAAGTTAGGGACCAAGGAGCTTTTCTTAAAGGGGCTGTTGATCCTCTACTTAGCACTGTGGTTGTTTGTGATTTTTGAGAAATATTTTATTTATGTCAATAAAGTTGAGCATTAATGCTATATACATATACTCATCAATGTATAAATACGTTAAAAGACTATTGTTTATTTGTCACAAGATACTTAAAACTTTATTATTCATGGCATATGATTTTGTATAATTCTATGGAAACCCAATGAAAGAGATTGTGATCAAATTCATAGGATTGTCACAAGCTGATTAAAACCCTATTACTCATGGCACAAGATTTATAGAATAGTATGGAAATTAATATGGTGTCTAGGAGACCCAAGATACCCATCTTCATAGCTTGTCACAAGCTGTCTTCATAGAGGAAATAAAGTCTAAGGGGTCGTTTGGTAGGGAGTATTAGGATAATAGTTCAAGTATTATGTGTGGTATTATTTAATACTATGTTTGGTAGAAATTTAGGGTCTATGTATTATCAATCCAGGGATAAGTTATGCACCGTACATGGTATTAGAGGATGTATAAGTAATACCTTCCATTTGGTGGTATTAGCTCTAATACCATGGGACTAATCTAGGTAAAGACAAAATATCCCCTCAAATTCTTTTAATCATTTTATTTAATTTTTTGATTTTGTATTTTGTATTTTATATTTATACTCATAAATTTCTTAAAATATATTAGCTTACAAATTTTATTATTTAGGTATAATTTTTTGTTTCTAAAATATGAGTTATTTAATCTATTTATCATTAATATAAAATATTATAATCCGACTAATATGCTAATGTTGATGTATGAGTTTAAGAACAATTGATAAATAAATTATTGCCTCTTAACGGAAGTCCATTAAACATTACACAAGTAGTCTAAAACAAGAGTATACACACATACACACACATCTCGAGTATAAAAGTAGTTTAATTTATTTTGCTATTTTTTTTTTAATTTTATTTTATGATAAAGAGTTTTTTAAAAAAAATTATTTATACAAAACAAAGTTCAATAATTGGTTGTGTGTCCTTTTGAGATATTAACTCCAGTTTATTAAGATGACAATTATTTACTCTCATATAATTTAAGTGAGATAATAGTGAACCTGACAATAAAATTTTTATTCTCCTATCTAGTTAAAAATGTTATAAAAAATAATATTCTCCGTTAATTATCTACCTTGACTGAATTACGTGAAATAGAAAATCTCGTAATAACTCTAGGGTATAATTAGAAATTTTTTTTTGTAAACTTTTAAACTACACACAATATTAGGTAAGAAACAATGAATCAAACACTTGATAAAAACAATCCCTGCATTACTAATCCCTTCATTACTAATCCATGCATTACCAATCCTTGCATTATTGATCTTTGTAACAAACGACCCCTAAGAAATTTAAGGATGAGGAATAGGTTAAGTTCAAAGGTAAGGTGGTGTTTGGAGAGACCCAAGATTCTACTCTCAATGCATAGATGATATCAAGTCTAAGAAATTCAAGGATGAGGAATAGGTTAAGTTCAAAAGTAAGGTGGTGTTTGGAGAGACACAAGATTCTACTCTCAATGCAGAAGATATGCTCAGTTTTAGAGGAAGGATTCGTGTTCCTCGGGATGGTGAATTGATCTACAATGCGTTGGCGATGTCTCATGGTTTATTGTATTCTGTTCCTCTTGGTGTGACCAAGATGTGTAGGGATTTGAGGCTACTTTATTGGTGATCTGGGATGAAGAAAAACATTGTTGAGTATGTTTTGAAATGTCAAAACTGCCAACAGGTGATGTATGATCATCAAAGGCATGAAGTTTTGCGTCAAATAATGCTTATTTCATAATGGAAGTGGAAAAGGACAGTCATGGATTTTGTAGTGGGACTACCTAAGACCTTAGGAAGTAAAATTCAATTTGGGTCATTGTTGACATGTTGACTAAATCAGATCACTTCATTCTGAGTGGATTATAACTCTTAATAGTTGGAGAAGATTTATGTTAAGGAGATAAAAAGATTGCACGAGGTGCTCCTTTCTATTATTTCAGACCATGACACTTAGTTTACTTTGAAGTATTGGGTAAGTTGCATGAGGCATTGGGCACTCAAATCCCTTTCAACTTCCCTTCCAAAAATGATTTTTAAATATTTTATTCCGGGGTTGTTCATATCCTCTTTTGGTATTTTTCAATTTTCTTATTTTTATTTCTAATGTTTTAACTCGAAATTTTTGATAAACTAAAAAAATATGTCATTCTATTCATATATTTGATTTTTTATATTGTCAATGCCAATTCAAGTATAGAAGTGGAAAAAGGATAACCATGGATTTTGTAATGGGACTACCTAAGACCTTGGGAAAGTATGATTAGATTTTTGTTAGGGTTGACAGGTTGACTAAATCAACTCACTTCATTCCGAGTGGATTATAGCTCCAAATAATTTGCGAAGATTTATGTCAACGACATTGTAAGATAACACGGGGTACCTTTTTTTTTTTCATTTTGAGACCGTGGAACTTAGTCTACTTTGAAGTTTTGGGGTAAGTTGCATGAGGAAATAGGCACTCAACACCCTTTCAACTCATTCTTCCAAAATTGATTTTTAAATCTTTATTTCACATTTGTTTCATATTTTATTTTATATTTACTAATTTCATTTTTTTCCAGTAATGACCTCCATGTCATTGTTGTGTTTGTTTCTCCTGTTTGTCATTTAGATCTTTCATGTAGAGACCCCAATTCATTTATAACTTGCTAAAATTGATAATTCAGACACCTAGTTGTTAGTGTAGGTTTTATGCGAGTTATAGTATTTTGAAGCTTTTGAACCGTTAACAATGAATTTTGATGTAAAGTTCAAGAAGATGACCTCAAAATTCATTTTTGATGATTCCATCAACTCTAGAAGGGTCATTTTGGGCTAGTTGCATGGTCGGCAGGACTCCTGAGGCTTTCAGTAAGATTAGAGCTAGGGTGTGGGATCCACTTTTAACTAAAATGATATCATATGGAATTTTTACTACTCTATTGGGTTCGAAATATCAAGCTTGGTAGGATTTTATACCTCATTTGAGTTCAAGGGGATCCAAATACATCTCGATCACTTCGTCAGAGAATTCAAAGTTTAAGCAAACCAGCAAAAATGCTCATATCTGGTGCATGCTTTTAGTGACCATATTTATACTTTTAACGACCAGAAATAGGATATTTATATAGCGAATTTGCAGTCTCATTTCTTATTTTCAAAAGGAAATTTCTCCCTTATTCGAGCTCCGATTCGAGTGATTTGAATTCCTTGGGTTATCGTTGGGAGCATGGCTACATGATGAAGTGATCGGGATTTGTTGAAAGACCTCCGTTTGAGGTGAATTTTGTTATTGAGATTTTGCCCCATCTCTCTTTGTTGCTTCACTTGTTGATTATTTGCATGTGCTATTGTGAGCTATTTTAGGTCTCGAATTGTGTTTATATTTGGAAAAAACAAGTTCGAGGAATAGTTTAGGACCTCTTGATGGAGTCAATAGAAAAAATTACGACGCCTTTTCCACGATTCACGTTTAACTTTAAAAAAATTGGTCAATCTCCATCTTGATTGATTTTGACGTCTAAATGATCGTACTGACACTATGAACCTATTTTTATAGCGTGGCACTGCTCAAAGGCTGCTCTGAAGGAAAAACTCCAGCCTTTTGATTAGGAGCGTGCACAGTAGGCCTACAGGTAGGCGAAGACTTTCTTTCCTATTAGATTGAACATGAATATGTGAATTTATGATGATTCGTGTGAATTGGGGACAGGTACCTAGTTGTTCCTACTTTTAATTTTAGAAACTATGACTTAGGATTGATTATACTATTTCGAGGGTAGAACCATATTAACTGGGGTTGTACTTGAGTTATTGGATACTATGTGATTTACTTGTTTTACTAGATGGTTCAAGGAGCATGTTTTTGTCCTAGTCTAGGATAGACTATTGTTGCCTTTGACTCGTGAACGTTGTGACCTTGGTATGTCTCTGAGGTCTTTCGGATGGACTAGGTCCTTGTAGATTGGATTAACAGACTTGAGTTTAATGGAATGAGACTTACTTTACATATTTGTGTAGCTTGTTGGCCTTTTTGGTCTCTTCTGCCTATTTTGCGACTCTAATGCGTTATCAGAGATTGTTTGCTTTATTAGGAATAGAGTGTTTCCATCTTGGAGCCTTTTGTGATACCTCGAGAGTAGACTTCTATTTATGGTGACTTGCAGCCTACTTGAGATTCTCTTCGGAGTAGATACTCCTTGGAACACTCTTGCTAGTTGGGCGACTGATGCCTCAGAGAGTGGTTTGGCTGGTTGAGCCGCCTGGATCTATGGAGTTGACACGTCCCAAGTCACTCTTGCTAGTGGGGCATCTTACATTCTTAGGAGTTGATTGTATGGTTGTATGACCTAGCTTGATTGTCATGTTTGCTAGTTGGGCTCAGAGTTGACAGGTTGGGTTGATTGTCACTCTTGGTAGATATGCTAGGAGTCGACTAGTTCTTGGCTACATAGGCTGGGAGCTCGTCTGATGTTCTTGGGTTCAAATCTGGTTTACTCTTCTTTCTGATAAACTTATCTATTTTGTGTATATGTGGGGCTTATGGGAGTCTGTTCGGATATTTATTTAAACTTGGACATGAGTGTTTTTATAAGTCAAGTTAGGTTTAGTTTGATCTATTTAGATTTACTTTCTGTATACTCTGATTCGTTTTCCTTTCCCCCTTTGACCATTGTTGTGGCTAGATTCTATGTTATTAAATTGTTTTTTTATCTTTCATGCTTGGTAGGCCTGTGATGCGTACTAAGTATCTTTGTTTTTGTACTTATGCTACACTATGCATTTTTTCCTAATGCAAGACCTGGTACCAACTCCTAGTGGTGATAGTTTGTGTCGTCTTTTGCAACTAATGGGTATTGGAGACGAGGGTGAGACTTGGCGTCTTGGACCAACCATTCTATTTTGTTCATATGTTAGCTTGTCTTTTACATTTGATACTACTAGTGATGGTTCACTTTTGGGACTTGTATTTATCTT